TGTTGCCATCATTGGCGGACGGACTGCAGTAGCACCCTCTTCAAGTAGTACACCTCTGGTATAATTCCAATTGGCGGGACCTAAAAACCGCTCTGGCATCCAAAGACATTCTCTACCGAGATAATATGCCAATAAAAATCCTAAGGATACGGACCAAGCCTTGGAACCGAAGACTGAAGCTAGGCCAGCGTTTTCGGTACGGCACATATGCGTCTATTAGCGCAGTGCACCTCATGCACGAGTCCGGATCAGGCGATTCACACTTATGGAAATTAAACACATCGTGCTGACAATGACGGTGGAACTGCGAGACTTCGGTCCGATGAATAAGACTGATGCATTGCCGTGAGATGCTGCCATCATGTACGGACAGGCTGTAGTAGCACCCTCTTAAAGTAGTACACCTCTTGTATAATTCCGATTGGCGAGACCTAAAAACCACTCTGAAAGGCAAAGACACACCCCGCCGAGATAACATCCCGACACGAACCCTGAGGAACAAAGCCGAGCCCCGGGAACCGAGGACCCGAAACAAAGGCAACGGTTTAGGTACGGTACATATACGTTTAGTCGTGCGGTGCACCTGAAACAAGAGCCCTTACAACGCGATTCACACTAAGTAGAAATAAACACATTGTGCCGACAATGTCGGCTGAGCTGCAATGGTTTGATTCAATGAATAAGACTCATGCACTGTCGTGGGATGTCACAATCATGTGCGGACAGACCGTAGTAGCACCTTCTTAAAGTAGTGCGCCTCTTGCATAATTCGTTGGCGAGACCTAAGAACGGCTTTGTCATCCAAAGACACACTGTACCGAAATAACGTGTCAACAGCAATTCTAAGAGAACGGACCAAGCCCCGGAAACCGAAGACCGAAGCGAGGCCAACGTTTTCGGTACGGTACATATATATTTATAAGCGCAGCGTACCTTATACCATCGTCAGCAAGATGTGTTTAGTCCTAATAAGTGTGAATCGCATGATCCGGACTCGTGTGTGAGGTGCACTACGCTAACAGACGTATATGTACCGTACCGAAAACGCTGGCCCTGCTTCAGTCTTCGTTTCCCGGGGCTTGGTCCGTTTGCTTAGCGTGGCTGTTGGCATATTATCTCGGCAGAGTACGTCTTTGGATGTCAGAGTGGTTTCTAGGTCTCGCCAATTGGAATTATACAAGAGGTGTACTACTTGAAGAGGGTGCTACTGCAGTCCGTCCGCCAATGATGGCAACGTCTGACGGCAATGCATGAGTCTTATTCATCGGACCGAAGTCTTGCATATCCACCGACATCATCAGCAAGATGTGTTTGGTCCTAATAAGTGTGAATCGCATGATCCGGACTCGTGTATGAGGTGCACTACGCTAACAGACGTATATGTACCGTACCAAAAACGCTGGCCTTGCTTCAGCCTTCGTTTCCCTGGGCTTGGTCCGTTTCCTTAGGGTGGCTGTTGGCATATTATCTCGGCAGAGTACGTCTTTGGATGTCAGAGCGGTTTCTAGGTCTCGCCAATTGGAATTATACAAGAGGTGTACTACTTGAAGAGTGTGCTACTGCGGTCCGTCCGCCAATGACGGCAAAATCTGACGATAATGCATGAGTCTTATTCATCGGACCAAAGTCTTTCATATCCACCGACATCGTCAGCAAGATGTGTTTAGTCCTAATAAGTGTGAATCGCATGATCCGGACTCGCGTGAGGTGCACTACGCTAACAGACGTATATGTACCGTGCCGAAAACGCTGGCCCTGCTTCAGTCTTCGTTTCCCGGGGCTTGGTCCGTTTGCTTAGCGTGGCTGTTGGCATATTATCTCGACAGAGAACGTCTTTGGATGTCAGAGTGGTTTTTAGGTCTCGCCAATTGGAATTATACAAGAGGTGTACTACTTGAAGAGGGTGCTACTGCAGTCTGTCCGCCAATGATGGCAACATCTGACGGCAATGCATGAGTCTTATTCATCGGACCGTGGTCTGGCATATCCACCGACATCGTCAGCAAGATGTGTTTGGTCCTAATAAGTGTGAATCGCATGATCCGGACTCGTGTATAAGGTGCACTACGCTAATAGACGTATATGTACCGTACCGAAAACGCTGGCCTTGCTTCAGTCCTCATTTCCCGGGGCGTGATCCGTTTCCGTAGGGTGGCTGTTGGCATAATATCTCGGCAGAGTATGTCTCTTGATGTCAGAGCGATTTCAAGCCTTGCTCGTTGGAATTGTGCAAGAGGTGCACTACTTTAAGAGGGTGCTACGACAGTCCCTCTGCACGACATGATTGCAGCATCTCACGGCAATGCATGGGTCTTATTCATCGGACCGAAGTCTTGCAGTTCCATCGACATTGTCAGCACGACGTGTTCAGTTCTAAAGGTGTGAATTGCATTATCCGGACTCGTGTGTGAGGTGCACTACGCTAACAGACGTATATGTACCGTACCGAAAGCGCTGGCCTTGCTTCAGTCTTCGTTTCCCGAGGCTTGATCCATTTCCTTAGGGTGGCTGTTGGCATATGATCTCGGCAGAGTATGTCTCTAGATGTCAGAGCGATTTCAAGACTTGCTCGTTGGAATTGTACAAGAGGTGCACTACTTTAAGAGGGTACTACGACAGTCCCTCTGCACATGATTGCAGCATGTCACGGCAGCGGAGTAGTCATATTAATTGAACCCAAGTGTTGTAGTTGAAGCGACAATGTCGTCACGATGTGTTTGGTCCTAATAAGTGTGAATCACATTATCCGGACTCGTGTATGAGATGCACTGCGCTAATAGACGTCAATGTACCGCACCGAAAACGTTGGCTTGGCTTCGGTGTTTGGTTCCCGTGGCTTGGTCCGTTTTTTAAGAATGCCGGAAATGCTTCATTTCCGCCGACATTGTTGGGGTTTTCTCTGTGCTGTCTGTTTGGAAACATCAACTCGAGACACGAATGTGAAGAACTGGGATAATTTTCTTGATTGCTCGAATGTACGTAATTTGGTGCTTATGTTGTCCTTTTAGTACATGCTATAAATCGTCGGCTGTCTGCGTGTTAAAAATCATATGACCTGTTTGTGGCCGAAATTATTATATTATCAGATGGTTATTTCTTGAAGATGATAGGCAATCATGCGAGCATTGTGAGTAGCAGTGGTCGAAACGACATAGTGAATGGTGTTAATTGCCTGCTCATTACTTTTGGTGCTAAAGATGTCGTTTGGATTGTATGATTTCAAAGTTGGGCAATCCTGCTAACGCGAGCTGGTTGAGCCCGTGCCGCACTGCGCGTAAAACGCTCGCGGTGGAGATTTTTCTTCTTCTAAAAAAGGTGAAGTACTTGAAGAAAACCCACTCAGCTTGCAGCAAGATGTTGTAGAGCCTGTCTGGCTGCCTACGTATTAAGGAAACCCACGCTGCAAAAATGGGTATTATGACTTTGACTAGCTTTTAAGGTAAATGTTGTATCAAATTCCATTCAGTATGCATGACAATTTTTATTTGATTGATGTAGCTTCAAGCCATGCTCAAGTCTGTTAAGTTCAAAACTAACATGGTACACACTGAACATGGACAGTTCTGGCTTGGGGCCTGGCTGCAAAGCCCAGAGTTTTTGTTGAGAGTTGGTGCTAAGGGGCAAGAGGAAAAAAGGGAAGGTCATTGCCTATACAAGTGAATACTTATTTTTCCTCCATATTTCCGGTGTCTGATACTGACGATTTATATTATTTTTTCTGTTTATCCAATATTCTTATTCTGAGTAATGCAAAACATTGAAATTTTTTAGGTGGGGCTTAACATCTTGAAAAATATGGCCAAACCACAGACTTCACCCATGAGATGCAGGCCATGTTGCCTGCACTTTGTGTGTAAAGTGTGCATGTCAAAAAACTATGTCTAGCAGTATTGTTTTTAGCAATTCAGACTAGCTTTTTATTTAGGTTCCAGTGTCATCACAGCCCCAGGGATGTGGAAACCAAGTTCCTGGGATGTGGCTACCCCCTGTCCCCTCCTCTCCACAACTTGGGGGGGGGGGGGGGTTGGCTGCAGGTCTACAATGTGGTAGCAATGTCAGGGGAAGAAATTACGTGATAAGGCTCAAAAGCCTTGTCTGTTTCTCCCTTTATTTGCTTAACTACCTTCTTTCTGTAGCTGCCCTCAACTTTTGAGAAGCCGGATAATTCCATAGGCTTATACTGTCTCACCTGTAATTCCTGTCCTTATTGTTATTCACCCAGTCTTAATATAGATGGGTTTTTGTTTAAGCCTTATAATTTGGTATTCAACTTGATAGCTGTTAAATACAGAAAGTGCAAGGTTGGGCCCTGATTCATGCTCTGAACCCCAGCAGAGGGCAGAGAGGGTGCTTTTCTGAAATTTGAGATCAGTTTTTTGTTTGTTTTTCAGGCCAAGATTTACTATTCTAACACTGTGATGGCATGACCTGCTACAGGCTTGCTTAAACATTCGCCAAGAAATCACATCTGGTACTTGGCAAAAAAAAAAAAATGGGACAAAGCATTTCAGGAGCCGCATGGTGACATGGTTTGTTCTGAGTGAAAAGAATTTTGGGTTATATCTTATCAAAAATATAATACAGGACCTGTTCATCTCTATGTTTTTATTAATTTTCACATTCTAACATTGTTTTCTTTTGCATTTTCAATGGATATCTGACATCACCTGTTTTCTTTCAGATAATAGTGCCTGCCTTACAAAATCAGCATGGACATGATGACAGACATATAGCTGAAGAAGGAAGGCTTTTGGTGGAAGTGAGGAGCGCTGAATAGCAGTCTAGTCACAATGAGAATGCAGGAGGGTGTGCATCAGTGATCCATTGGCAGCACCTCAGAAGGCAGCCAGACACCATTGTCTGAATCATCAACCAAGTTCTGGTGTGACAGTGTCAGTCAGTGAGCAGCAGTGATCTGCCATCAGATACTTGATATCCAGCACCAGTGGCTGGTACCAGCGACCCTGTGTATCCATCGCCAAGTGCTAGGGACTGCATACATAGCAACTCATTAGTGACAGGTGACATTTGGTGAGAGCCTCACCATGATGACCTCATCGACACCGACGGACGAGCCAGCCCGCCTCTTCCCACTGACCTCGCCTTTCGGGCCGGCGCCGCGCGACCGCTGGCCCCTCATGCTCGTCGCCTCCACCTCTATGGAGATCTCGCGCAAGGTCGCCCGCTGGGAGCTCAACAGTAAGTCCCGGCCTTCGCCGCTGCCATGGCTTCCGGTGTGTGCGCCCCGTCGGCACGCGCGGAAATCGGCGTGGTGGAGCATGTTCGTGGGCTCGGTGTTAAGTCGAAACCTCCTCTGGTAACTTATCTGGTTGCTCAGTAGTGAGTCTTGCAATGCGCGAATACGGTGCTTGTGTGTGAACGCTTGCTCGAGAACTCTGTTGAGTCCTGGACGTCAGCAACGACGCTTCGCAGCCGGAGAGCAGGGGGAGGGAGAGGGGGGGGGGGGGTTGGCCGTTACACGCTGGCCAAATCCAGGAAGAAACCCGTTTTTTTGCGTAAGGGGTGAATTTTTGGGGGTGACCTTAATTTTGGGGGAAATTTAGCCAATTTTTGTCCGGCTCAACTCCTACCCCAACTTTTCCCGAAAAACTGCATCCCTGCTTCAGAGCAGCCTGCCGGTAGTAGGATGTGACTACGTGGTAATCTTACGAGCCGTCTTCTTTGCGGTGTTCTGTACAAATAAGGGGCCTTCAAACGTCGATTGCTGAGCACGTGCTGGGGTCTCTCCAAGGACACTTGCATTTTCTTCCACGCGTCGCTACCATAGATGGTGCGCTCGATAGTAATATGGCTCGGCTCGAATACGACAACGTCTTTTGATCCAATCACCGCGGCACAGTTATGCCCAAAGCATGCATGCAGCCTGCGAGTGGCCCTTCTATCGGGTGTCTGTTCCACAGCGTCTGTTTGCGATGGGCTTGCAATCTTGGTGCCGCAGTGACGCGATGGTGCTCAGCGAAGTCGCGTGATACGTGGACAATTACGTGTTTTATGGCTGTCATGCGACAACACAATCTCGCTGACGAAGGTATAAGGTCAGCGGGTCATTCACCGCGTGACAGTCCAGAACGGAGCGAAACACGAGCTGGCGGCGACCCTCGCCGCCCGCCGCTCGGCTCCAAGCTCGCGCTTCGCGGATGCGGCGCCTTCCTAGCGCGGCGGACCCCTGTGGGCGCCGCTGATCTGAGGGCCGCCTGGGCGGCCGGCCGGGTCGATGGGGGCGGCGCCCGCCCCGCCCCGGGACCATCGATTGACCTGCGCAGCGCCGCCGGCCGCATCGATTGACCGCCGACACTGAGGTTGCGTCGCCGACGGAGCCGGCTCCGCCCGCACGGCTCCGGCCGCTGCCGCGGTGGCTCCAGTGGTGACGGCTCCCGTGGCCGGCGGCGTCGGTGGTGCCCGGTCAGGGAGGCTGGTGCGGCAGTGGGAGGTGCTCCGGCCGACGTGGCAGGAGGTCGGGTGCCGTCGCCGTGGCTGGAGGGTGATCTGCGCTGTTGGGCTACGCCCGAGTCTGTTTATCATCTGAATATCTGTCGGGCTAATGTCGGGCCACTACCATGCCCGGAGTTCACTGAATGGGCCGGTTCTTCTGTGGATTTTGCTTCGAAGCTGTTTACAGGCCGTTCGGGTGTTCGTGGAATGGCAGAAGGTTTCTTTTAGATTGGGTCTTCCATGCAACTAAACGCATGTCGTCCTGTACATTTCTTGAGTATTCAAACTGCTCGTATTTCAAAATGTATATTTACTCCATCCCCCTCAGTAAGTCTCGAACAACTGAAATATTATCGCTTGCGCTTTTTTCGGCCGTAACGCTGTTGACTGAAATACTAGCACATTGAAAAAGCACCAACCGTGCACTCGGCTGCCACAGGGTGTATGCAAAGCAAAAGCATTGCTGGATTGTCACAGTGTAGGAGAAATCTCCCAGCGAAGACGAATATCTGAACTTAGCGTAGAAACTCTGCTCTAACTCGCCATGCATGCAATTAAGAAAAGTTCAATTTTTAGTTGTGACAGATCTCTATAAAGGGGTTTAGCAGTCTAAGGTTTATTGTAGAACAATTCCAAGCTACGTTAAAAACGGTGTTGAATCTCACAAGGCGAATAAAAGCAGATTGTCGCACTTTCGCACGTTTTGCAACGGCTCACGGTGTTGTAAGGTCACTTACACAGTAAACGCCCATTGGTAATTCTGATAGTATGTTGGCGCAATGGCCTCTGATCGGGACCAGGTTTACCGTTTAATAGATGAGTTCTACCCAAAAAATTTTTAATTGATATATTCTAGAACAAAGAAAGCCAAAGCCCAGATCCAAAAAGTGTCTCTCGGTCCCAATGACTGTCGACCCGCGGATTTCGTCAATTTTGTGGTATTTTCCTCGCCGTGACGCTCTGGCCTACAATGCCGGCTTATTGGCATGACCATTAGGTGATCTTTTCCCAAAGTACTTGATTAAGGGCAAAGCTTTCTGAACTTAGTACTAACGTCTGTAAGCTGGGTAGAAATATCTAAGCAGGTTTCGCCCCTGTTGCTGTAGCCAGCAGGAATATTCAAATGTTAACTTTGCTTGAACAGGTTTGTGGTACTAATCTGATTGTAGCATATTCTTCTCGCACGTAAAGCTGACAGGAGACTCGATTTTCCAGATGCTTTGCACAGTTGGGAAGCTTTTACATTCTTCTACGTTGCATGTAGCTTTTCTTCGCAACAGCTGAGCTTCAAATGCTTCCAGCAGGATATTGCTTATATCCGATGAGACCGTGGTCAGTGTCCGCGAGGTTGGTGGTGGGCGGGCGGCGACGCCATCTCTCGATGACCACGTGAATCAGAAGTGCATGACCTCTTAGTTGCCATGGGCGACGATACAGCAGTAGGAACCGTGGAAACATTGTATCTGTGTAACTTCCGAGTATCTGTGGATGGCGATTGGTTGTGCCTCAAGGAGCTGCAAGATGTTGAACTAAGCCACGCTCCCAACCGGCTGCCGTCTCCCAGTTACGATGGTACGTCTGGCTATTCATAGAGGGCAGCACTTACTTGTCGAACCCTATTCGTCTTCTACCTGTGCGTGTGCAGGCCTGGTAAGACCAACATCAGAAATTTCCCACAACTTTTCGAGGATGGTGGCATATCACTTATTCCATGACGCCCGGACCGGCCCGCTCAACGCACCAAATATGGGAAGCATGTTTTTATTTCTCGCGAAAATGCTCAATATTTCCTCTTGTGTCGGCTCATCAGGGGTAGAAGGTCATACTGATCGTTGCGCAGGCATCTGGATGGCAGAGAACGCCGTGCCTATAACTGTTGATTGAATGTATATTCGGTTTCATTGGTCACTCCTGGATGGGAGTCATACTGTGCATTCGCCCACCTCATCCCCAAGGCTATCCCCTCTTAGATCACAATGTGCATAATGTGTTGGCTGTTTGTTCATGTAATAACGCGGTGTTGTGTTCCGACGTACCTTGACGCCGCTGCCTGCCTCGATTGACCCCTCCCGCCGTCGTGTAATAATGCAATGTTGTTTCCGACATTGCGTTATCCGCCCCTCCCCCCCCCCCCCGCTTGACGCCCTCCGCGCCTGCAGAGCGTGACCCGGTCGCCATCGAGCGCAGCAACCTGATCAACATCAGCAAGTTGGTGGTGAAGGAGCTGATCGAGTCGTCGGTGCCGTTCGGCCGCATGCTCGACTCAGACCATGTGCCGCTGCAGCACTTCTTCATCGTGCTGGAGCACGCCCTGCGCCACGGGCTGCGGCCCAAACGGGTACGTCGGCGCCGGGGGCACGTCCGGGGAACAGGGCTCTCGCTCAGGCAGGTGCCCACTGGGGGGGGGGGGGGGGGCTAACGGCGGGAGCGGGGGGCGTCGTAACGCGCTGCTCCGCGAGATATGACCCTCATTTTGAAATTGCGGACGGCGCAGCTCGTCCCTGCTCTCTCCTTAAGACGGCGATAAGGTGGCAATCTCAGCAATGTTCACCGGCCTGAGCACGGCACGGTCGGCGGAGCCGGCGGCGGCGGACTGGGCCGCGGCGGCGCGTCTGACCGCGCTCGCCCCTCCTGCAGGGTCTGCTGGGGCCGAAGAAGGAGCTGTGGGACGTGCTGCAGGCGGTGGAGCGGCTCACCAGCGAGGCGGCCGACATCACCACCAGCGTGCGAGACCTGCCCACCGTCAAGTGAGACGCAGACTGCGTAATGGCCGAGCGCTTAGCGTCTTCGGCCCTCACGTGGGAGCAAAACCCGGCTGCGACTTTGTCCTTCGGCGCGAATTTTGTACCTGCACTCGCTGTTGTTCCATAGAATTGTGTGTGATGACGGTTCTCCAATCCTCTTTCAAAACAGCCGTTGAATGAGACTGCGAGCGGACGCCGCGCCGGCCCCGCGCATGCGCGCTGGCGCCGGCCGTGCGGTGGCCTGGGGTCAGAACCCTGGATGGTCAGAGCCGTTTTGACGGTTGTTTGTGTCTAGTCCAGTGCCCGATGCCTTATGATGCCCTGGAGCTCGTGTGGCGTCGACCCTGACACGAGCGGCGACGTGTCAAACCGGTCCCAGCTAGTGTGCTCCTGACACGAGCGGGGCCGGTTTGGTGCAGGTCGTCGCTGCGCTGTGTGGCTGACACAGGAGTCCTGACGCGCTCCTCACGAGTCGCAGCCGTGGGCTGGTCTCCCACCAGCCTGTGACGTGGCCTCGGAGCCCTGTACTGCCGTCCCGCGTGGTCCGCCCGTGAGCGTGGTGGGCGGCATCGCTCATCGCTCTGTCCGTCGCCTGAACCGGCCTCACCCCGCCGCCGCCGTCGCCACCGTCAGGACTCCGCTGGGCAGAGCCCGCGCCTGGCTGCGGCTGGCGCTGATGCAGAAGAAGCTGCCCGACTACGTGCGCCTGCTGCTGGAGCACCAGGACGTGCTGGACGAGCACTACGAGCAGGGCGCGTTGATGCTGTCCGAGGAGGCCATCCACGTGCTCGGCCTGCTAGTCGGCCTCAACGTCATCGACTGCAACCTCTGCATGAAGGTGAGGGCCTAGTATGAGCGTGCTAACCGGCGGTGGCGCTGGTTGGTGTGGTGGCCACGGCGCAGACCTCGCTGCAGGCTGAAGCAGGGCTGTGGCGAAGAGAGAGATCAGACGGAATCCATTTTGTTTGGGCCGTGATTGCGTGAGGAAAAGGCAGGGCAATATGGCGAAACGTGCTTTGGCGTGAGTGGTTTAATGTCTGGCAATGACAGGCATTTTGTGGGCAACTGTCTTTGTGCAGTAATTGCTGTCGATTTTATCTCTTGTTGATCATGTCTGACCTCTGTTAACGCTGGAAGAAGGAGGAGCTGCGCTGTGAGCAGGGCGTGGCCTCCAGACCTGTGACATGACCCCTGGCCTCTTTTGGGGAAACTAGACTATCGGTGTGGCATGACCTCTGACCTGACTTGTAACCTCTGTCAGGAGGAACTGGACTGTCAGTGGAGATTGACTCCCTAACCTCTGGCCTGACCTCCCTGTGACCTCCGTCAAAGGGAGGAGTTGGGCTGTCGGCAGGGCATGACTCCCTGACCTTTGACCTGACCCCCTGTGACCTTTGCCGGGAGGAGGGCGGGACTATCGGCAGGGCTTGGCTTCCTGACCTCTGACCTGATCTCCCCGTGACCTCTGTCGTGAGGAGAAGCTGGACTGTCAGCTGGGCATGACTTCCTGACGCTGAACTGTCAGCAGGGTGCGACTCCCTGACCTCTGATCTGACCTCCCTGTGACCTCTGCCAGGAGGAGGAGCTGGACTGTCAGCAGGGCGTGATCGACTTCTCTCTGTACCTGCGCAACAGTCCGACGGAAAGCAGCGAGCCGGGCCTGGCCACGGCCGACATGAGTGAGAGCAAGTACGAGCGCGTGCTCGACCAGAAAAACTACATCGAGGAGCTGAACCGGCACCTCAAGTGAGCGGGCCGGCCCGGCGTCCGGCGGTGGGCGGGGTCCCGGCAGGTGGCGGGCGGGGTCCCGGCGGGACGGCAGCCGGGCACCGGCAGGGCAGGGTCTGGTGTGGGCCCCCGCTGGCGGCCTGGTTTGAGGCGTGGAAGGTGCCGACCCCTGGTTTGGTTGGCATTTGTGAACCAGGACTGGACTAAATGTGTGGCGTGCGAAAAATGCCTCCTGGCGCGTTCATGTTCGATGCTTCATTTCAATTTGAGGCGGCATCAGGGAATATAACCATGGAACACGAAGGAAGATTTTTATATGTAGTCGGATGTATATACGGCTGGCGGTAGTACCGCTGAGCCTAGTCCGTTCCATAGTATCCCGCACGAGCGGGCGGGGCGCCGCCGGCCGCCTGACGTCACCCCGCTGTGACCCTGATGACCCCGGTGACCCGGCTTATGACGGCGCTGTGATGGGGTTGCAGCGCCACGGTCACCAACCTGCAGCAGAAGCTGGAGCAGCAGATCGCCACATGCGCCCTGCTGCGGGAGGATCTGGCCATCGCGCGCAACCAAGCGCAGGTCGGCCGGCCGCCGGCAGTGAGCGGCTCGCCCGCCCCCAGCCGCACGCCCGACACACTGGTACGGCTCCACCTGATACATTGATGCGGCCACATCAGACTCATGGTGCGGCCACACTCGACACACTGGCACGGCCACACCGGACACATTGGTACGCCCACGCCCGACGCACTGGTACGACCACACCCGACATGCTGGCATGGCCACACCCGACACGCTGATGCGGCCACACCCGACACATTGGTACGTCCATAACCGACACTCCGGTATGGCCACACCCGACACGCTGGCTCGGCCACGCCCGACACACTGGTGCGGCCACACCCGACACGCTGGTACGGGCACACCCGACAACTGGTACGGCCACAACCGACACTCTGGTATGGCCACACCCGACTCATGGTGCGGCCACACCCGACACACTGGTACGGCCACCGGCAGTAAAGCACAGAGCTTGATACCGCATACGGGCAAGCCGCACAAAAGCGACCATCTCACTCTTTGGTTCTGGCACTACTCCACACAGTACAGTAGGACCTCAGACAGACTGGTACGGCTTGGGTGAACCACCGAGCAGGCTTTTGAACAGACTGGTCCAGCCTGTTCACACACTCACTCAACTCATTGGGTATGGGCATGACGGTCTCCTTGAGGCATCCACGGACGCGGACTCATCGTCGCTCAGACAGGAGGTGTGTTCCTATATTTTGGACAAGGTTGACTCGGTCTGCATGATATGGTGGCGTTTTGCAACAGGCTGTACAAAGCCCGGGAGGGCTAGTGATGCTTCTCAGCTTTCCCGCCTTGCCCCCCCCCCCCCCCCTCCTCCCACCCCCAAGGACAGTGTCATTTCATTTCTTCTTTCCTTTACTGTCCACAGTCCAGGCCCCACCCATAAGTCGGTGCTGGGCACTGGCCGTAGTGTTTGATGTGAATGCGCTGGGTTTATTCGTTTCAACGTTCTCGGACGGAAGCGGTCAGATCCTGTGTGGTCCGCAGACTGTAATGTCCTGGCCCTTAGCCCACCGCCCGCAGCATCTGGGATCCACAGCCCCATCCTGCTGTCAGTGAGGTTCGGGATGCCGGTAGTGTAGTGATCAACACGTCTGTGTTAACCACTGCGCGTCTGGGAAACCAGAGGTACGGGGCTCGATTCCCCGCGGTGCCCGCCCTTCCTGCTAGGGTGAGAGGCAAGCGACGCCGTATAGCCTCAGCAGCTGAGTGCGTCGTAAAGCCCCAATCACACACACACACACACACACACACACACACACACACACACACACACACACACGCACGCACGCACGCACGCACGCACGCACGCACGCACGCACGCACGCACGCACGCACGCACGCACGCACGCACGCACGCACGCACGCACGCGAGGTTCCGCCGCTAGCCCTGCCTTGTGCCGTGCCCACTACCACTGTCCGCCGTGCCGTGTCCAGTACCACTGCCCCCCCCCCCCCTCTCCCCCCCCGTTCCGTCCTCAGTAGCACATTGCCCGCCGTGCCGTCCGCAGTACCACTGTCCGCCGTGCCGTCCCCAGTGCCACTGTCCGCCGTGCCGTGGCCGGTCTGCGTGCCGTCTGACCCGCTCTCTGCCCGGCCGGCAGTCGGTGACGTCGCGGGCGTCACAACAGAGCGGCGCCGGCGCCTCCTCGCCCTCCGGCTGCGGTGAGGAGATTGAGGACCTGCGCGCCCAGCTGCGCGAGGAGCGCGCTCACCGCCGCGAGCTGGAGAAGGAGCTGGAGATGCAGGTGAGCACCTCCGCCCAGCAGCTGAAGCGGCCATTGTGTGAGTGTGCATGCTTGCGTGCGTGCGTGCGTGCGCGCGCTCATGTGTGTGGTTGGTTTGTATGCGCGTGCGTGCGCGCGTGTGTGTGTGCGCGTGCGGGCGTGAGTGCGTGTGTATGCATGTGTGCGTGCGTGCGTGTATACGATGGCGGTAGTGTGCATACTATGTTGCTGCAGGCGGCTACGCGCCAGATACCGATAGCCTACGATATCCCGAGTTTGAGCCTAGTGAGGTTGCGTGTTGAAGGTAACAGCGCCGCGTTCAGCGACGTCGGAAATGACGTCAGGGGCAGTATCAGCCTCCGTCAGCAGCAAGACGGCCAGTGGCAGTAATGCCCCGTCAAGAAGACAGCTGTGCGTCACCGCCTCTTCATTGCGGGCCAGGCGACTTCAGCCATGCTCTCCCCGGACGACAGATTAGTATCGTTGCTCAGCGCCTGTCCCAGAGCCGGTGTCGCTGTGAGCTGCAGTATGAGGAGCGTCATCCGCGACAGTGTGAGATGGCTGCAGGGTCTGGATCGGCTCCGCTCCAGCTCTCCCGTCATGTCGCAGGCCTGGCCCTCTGGCGCGGTCCTTTGACGCGGCCCCCTGCCTGCCCCAGATCCAGATGAAGGCCGAGATGGAAATGGCGACCAAGCTGCTGGAGAAGGATGTGCACGAGAAGCAGGACACCATCGTCAACCTGCGCCGCCAGCTGGATGACATCAAGGCCATCAACCTCGAGATGTACAACAAGCTGCAGGTGAGCGTGCCGTCACGTACGTCTTCACCAGAGCACAAGGTGCATGCGATCGGTGGACTCAACTCGTCGCTAAAGCGGAGAATACATGAAGTGCAGCCGGACAGTGAACTCGCAAGGTCGGCGCAGTCAGACGAGTCGGACCTAGGTCCTACCCGAGATGGAAACACGCACGAGCGTTTGCGATTGCGCTGTGTACATGCCACGCACACCTGAACTGCACATCCGCTGGACCGCTAGGTGAGCGAGCCAGAGCTTATGGAAACTCAGCTTATGGAAACTGGTTGGTATGGCACAGTTGGAATCGCATTATACAAAATAACTTTTTGAACAATATTGCAACTAAAAGTTGTTTCCTGAAGGTCTTGCTGTGAGGCAATAAGTATCAACCACTTCATCACGGTCTGTGTCATCCACCAAAGACTTGCGGTTGTCGCATAGCTGACTTGGACCGGCAGCACGAAGCCCGTGCACACCTTGCGACTGGCTGCAGAATGCGCCACAGATCCTGCAGACGTCAGCTGCGGCGAACTAGAAGTGCGGCATTTAAACCCGCGAGCCTGTGGAGCGTAGGCCAAAAGAACTCAGAGGTGGTACCTTCATTTCATAGCAGCTGATGTCTACAGAACACGCAGCAAATTGTCAGAAAGTGCGAGGTGGGGAAGTGCCTCTTTTGAGCTCGTTTTGCCGGCGGTTGGCCGGCCAGCGGGGTTAAAAGAGGCACCTCTAGACCGCGACAGCTGGCGACTACAGAAGCTGCAGCGGATTCTGCAGCCAGATCGCAAGGTCACCAGTTCACCAGATGTAAGCTATTAAGGGCGATGCGTAACGCCCGGTAAGAACGTTAAGGTATGGGACGAAAGCCGTGGGGTCCTGCGCCGTACGCTGCTCTGCTGTAAATAGCTGGCGGTAATGTGTGGACTCTCGGTTCAGATGCCCCTGCCACATACCGTTGCGTGCTGGGGGTGACCGGCGGACAAAATCACCGTTATGTTTTGTTAAGGTAGATCCGCCCGTCTATCGTTGTGGTGCGCGTGCAGAAGGTGCACGAACCCACAAGAAGTGAGGCGCGCCTACACCTCGTCCGTGCACACAAACTGACTGAGAGTAGACAAGTTCTATTGTGTAAGCTGCACTGCGTGTCTGAGAAACCAGAGGTGTGGGGTTCGATTCCCGCGGTGCCCGCCCTTCTTGCCAGGGTGAGAGGCTGGCGACGCCATAAAGCCTCAGCAGATGAGTGCGTGGCAAAGACCTCAATGACAACATCATATTGTATAAGCTGTGCAGCGCGTTTGCGATGTTTACGTATCCTTAAGGGCAGTTCTATTTACTTTATTCCGCATTGCTGAATGCTTAGAAGAGGAAAATGTACAGCTATGTTACTTGGATATCGTGAGATATTTTGCCATGATCTCAATATATTCTAATTTTTCCCCTTTTATTCGCCCTTTAGCCAGAAACAGTATAAACAAAAATCCTCATCTCAGGCATATTGTGTTTTTTCCTGGTCACCTGCGGACTTGGATTATTTTTTACTTCGACAATGGCAGTGGATGTGCATTCTTTTTTACTTCGGCAATGGGGATCGCTATGGCGAGTGACAAAATTTCGGCCGTCTTTCAAGCATCTTTCGCAAGTACTGCTGCGTGTAACGGAAAGGTCAAGTTCTGGGCGCTAGATGACCACGCGGTCGAGGCTCCCTAAAGCCCCAATTACTACTACAAGTTCCAGTTCGCGAACTGGTTGGCAAAAACTGGAGCTCTGTGTATTTACGAGTACAGGGCGTGGCCTGTTGTTGCCGTCTGGCCCGGGCATGGACTTTTTTCGTGCCACCCGGGATCGTAAGTCTGTGTTGGCTTCTCTTGCCGGTGCTCGACCAGTGCCCTCCACCATCCGCGGTATGTTACTTTTCTTTTTATAGCTGTGTCTGTTCGTTTCGCACGTGCTAGAATATTTTGTTTGCTTGAAATCTCGTGTGGCATGTTGTTGCTGTTGTTTTCTTCTTTTGCGTCGCAGTTTGCCCCGTGTTTTGTTTATTTGTAGATGTTTGTTTTTGGTGTAGCTTGTCGAAGACATTTGAAGAGTGCGAGCGGGGATTCAACTAGTCAATAATACTGAAGCTTCCGGCAAATTCTACAGTATTCCTTTGCGCATTACGGTATGAGACAAGGGGGCACACATGGGCATCAGAAAGCGTGTACTTATCTTTTGACTTCTTTGTGGTGGGGGAGGTAAATGCATAGTTATCAGATGCCTGTGTATATACAGGAGATTCTCCCCGAAATACGTCACCGCTGTCTTCCTTGCTGATGAGAAGCATAGCACTGCGCGTGCCGCTGAGATCTAACGAAATTGAAAAGAAAAGGAGGAAAGGAAAGCATTGGATGGTGTTTAGCTCTATTTTTTGTTGCTGATGAGTCACATTCATTGGTAACTGCAGTACACTTCAAGGCATTTGGACTAAGCTGCGTTCCATTCTCACTTCAACACTTGCTCCTACTGTTCTGGTGATCCATGAATGACGCGTGTTTTTAGAATGGGCCATTACTTCAGTTTTTATTATTTCAGCCATATGCCATGTTCGCGGTTTTCAATATGCCGTTTCTGCCGTACGTTTCCTGTTTTATATCACGTCGTTCTCCGCCCTGTAAAGCACACTTTCGGGTCCATACGTCACTGTAAGCTTCAAGTCTGGCGGTAGCAAAAGTTCTTGTTGAACAACCAAGCAGATGCAGAAATGAACATCACATTTTCAAAGACCGACCCTGCACTCTGTTAAGACGGGGCTCCTCGTTTGTCTGACTGGACATCTGATGTCCACTAATGCCTGATAAGTACCTCACCTGTGTCGCCGCAAAGTTCGCCCATCGCTTCTGTCGGTGCAGAGACTCCGCCGCCGCCGTCCTCTCTGTCGTGTCCAGTGGCGCCAGCTGACGCCGCGGGGGCGCCGCGCCCGGCCGGCAGGAGTGCGAGCTGGACCTGTCGGGCAAGGCCGAGCTCATCTCACGGCTGCAGGCCCGCTCCTGGGAGGTGGGCCGCCTGCTCTCCGGCCTGCAGCAGATGAGCGGTGCGCCGCGGCGCCCGCTGCGCCCCTCACGCTCGGCCCACTTGCTGACGGAGCCGCGGCGCGCCCGGCCGCCGCCGCCGGCCGCCGCCGCCTCGCCGCCGCCGCCCACGCCGCGCAGTGACGTCACGCCCGGTGACGTCACGCCGTCGTCTGACACCGAGGACGTGTCGGCGGGCGTGGCCAACCGCCGGCTGGAGCAGGAGTGTGGCCTCACGCCTGACACGCCACGCTCCTCCGACCGCGAGCACAGCATGGACGGCTGGGAGACCATCGACGGCGACGAGATCTAGCGGCGTCGCACGAAGCTGTGTTTGGTCGGTTTCCGCCGCGCGGCGCTGCAGCTGTGATATTTGGGTCGTGCGCTGAATAGGGCAAGTCGCTGGCTGATTTGTCTGTTCACAGGTATTCAAGGGCAGGATGATGCTTTGATGACAGTATTAGTCTTGCGAAGGATAGCCTGTGACGAGTGATCTCGGGTGTATGCTGTACAGATGGAGCAGTATTATGAACAAGGCGAATATCGCTGAAGACCGTGGTGATGCGTCATGACATTGAATGTTCGGTTGCGTAGGTACGACGCAGTTGGCATGAAGGAAAACTGGCAAATGGGGTTCAGCCTTGTGGACGAATCGTGCAATCATTTCGATGGTGCGCGGGGCTGTGTGCCGAATGTCAGCAGAAGCAGTGGTGGTCTATCGTTGGCAGACGCTTTCTGAAAGCAGCCGACAAGCGCACCTTGGTCATGCAGCGGTGCTATATTGACCCTTCGCGCGGACGCGTAACAGCAAGGGCGGGCTAGTCTTTTGTTACCCAACGAGTGACCACGGTACGAACAAGACTGCGCTTGTAGCGGGGATCATGCACACCTGATATCTCTAGTCAATTTTGTAAGGCGCGGTGACTGGTGCTGGTCATCGCGGATGATTTACAACATAGATAGCATTCCCTCTCATAGTCTGCTTTGTTTTGGAACATTGCCGCACAACGATAGGCTCTGACAGCTCGGGCGGCGCAACCGGTCAGACTTGGGACAGCGTAATTGAATGGGCGACGGATCATAGAGCGAAGCGCCGGGCAGCATCGGACAACGGATCATGGAGCGTAGCGCATGACAGCGTTACTGATCGTGCGACGGATCATAGAGCACGGCGCGGGCAGCGTTGCTGATCGTGCGACGGATCAAAGAGCACGGCGCCGGGCAACGTTACTGATCGTGCGACGGATCATAGAGCACGGCGCCGGGCGACGTTACTGATCGAGCGATCGGGCGATCATAGAGCGCGGCGCGGGCAGCATTACTGATGGCGCGACGGATCATGGAGCGCAGCGTCGGGCAGCGTTGGGTAACACGCGTCGCCATGCTATCAGTGTTCAAGGGGGCGCTCTGAGCCTTCCTCGCTGTCCACGGCTCCAGCTCCGCATCTACCCGCGCACGGAGGCCGGCAAGGTCGGCATAAGACGGCAGGGGCCGGTCGGTGCTGGTGCCTGGTACTCAGCGACTCCCGGCCAGCCAGCGACGCGCTTTTGTGCGATGCCAATGTCCGTGCAATCGAGAGATCGTCGCTTTTGCTTTGTTACAGTAGATCAATATACGATATCGGACGCGAGGTGTGTCATGTTCTTGCGTGGTTCTGCTCTGCTGATTGTTTTTTGTGTCAGAGATCAGTGCCCAGAGAATGTTTCACCGCGCTGGGTATGTACGACCGGGCAAATGTTGGAGGCGGAAGGGACTTCGCGCAGGCAGCGGTAGGGAAATACCGATTCAGAGAGTATTCCGTATGAAGCGTTCGGCGCAACTTCTTTCAAAGAATTATTCGAAGCATTTGTGGTCACCTGTGTGGATACACATCATTGAATGCCTCCCCCCCCCCCCCCGCTTTAGCATTTGAGTCCCGTTCAGTGCGAAACTCGCCCGGCTGGTTCTTAGCGACCAGCTGGATGCTGACCAAGGGATAATGGTGCACAGGTGGGCCACGTATTAGCATTTCGCGGTGCGAGAGCCGAGCTGAACACATGGGCCCACAGAGAAGCTATCCGTTCGGGTAGAACTGCGTTGCCTGGGTGCCTTTATGATAAATTCAGCAAGCCCTATGCAGCAGGCATCGTTCGTAAGTGCTCTGATACTTGCCGCCGGCAATGAAGTTACGCATTGATATTATAACTATTGACATATATATATATATATATATATATATATATATATATATATATATATATATATATATATGCCAGAATATATTTCCCGCTTCGTGACATCGTCAGCCGTGGTAGTTGAACAAGTTTTGCACGTAGATAGTTTTGTGCGAAGGGAAGTTACCAGGCTAAACTTAATTCAATCAGCTGAATTTATTAAGTTCTGACTAAGTGCTTTATTAAGTGCAGTATGTCTGACGCGATGACGAAGACCACGTATAGCACGTGTACAGCTGGGAGTAACAGCGAACACAAGTCAGTGTCGCTCTTTGGGACCAATATTTGAAAGAAAGATGGTGCTAAACTCTGTCGGGGTCATAGCCCCGTTACGTTTCTTGCGGGATGGTGAGGTGAGATGATCCGAGAAATTCTACCGGGTTGCATAGTATTTGAGAACCTAGGTTCGGCACATTCTACTGAGACACTTACAGAAGTCCGGTGAAAAGGGAACGACAACCGCATAGTTTTGGTCGTGGCCCACTGTTCTCTTGTGACTTGACCACAAGAGAGGCTGCCGCTGCGCGGGGCCTGAGCTCCGGGCGGGGCCGGGACAGGCAAGGTTTGAAGACGGGACCTGAAGCCATGACGGGCGCGGTCTGAAGCCGGGGCGAGCGCGGTCTGAAGCCGGGATGGGCGCGGTCTGAAGCCGGGACGGGGCGGTCTGAAGCCGGGGCGGGCGCGATCTGAAGCCGGGACGGGGCGGTCTGAAGCCAGGATGGTCAGATCACCATGCCATTAGCCATTCGACAAGATGTGGAGAGCTCCGTGGTGACGACAGGCTATGCATCAGCTCGGCCTGTGTATAGATCAGGTCGAAAGTTAAATTTAACGTTTCGAAAGCTTGCATCGCGGCTTGAGGTGGAAATAGTTATTTTTTGTTTCATTTTGGATTTCGGATTTAACTTTTTTGATCGAGCGAATTCAAAGGTCTGATAGGCTTTGCTCTCGTTATCTTCTCAAATGAAGTCGTATGGAGCCAAACATTTGGAGAATTAGTCTTAGCAGTCTAGTTAAGTAGTCTCACATGACTATAAGTGCAGTTACTGACAGTCAGTGATACACCCAGACACCAGACGCAAGTAACCACTGCTGTTAATGTAGCGCCACCTGGGAATTTCACCAAACGCGGGCGCTTACAAACGAGTCGGAGAAAGGCGTGGGTGCCTTCGAGCCTTTTGAACCCGTTTGTTACCACCATTGGCGCCGTTGGAAACACGCGCTCTGGGATCCCTGTATCTTGTGGGACCGAAAATACTTGAGTGGCGAGTGATAGTCTGGCCGTTGTCATGTATAAATTAGCTGACGTACTTCACTGGGTTAATCAGGCCACGGAAATACCACCCAAATCGTCCAAAGAGGGCAATAAACGTATAGAGCCATCGTTACCATGTTTCGTAATGATCGTTACCATACCTTGAACACGCGAAGTTGTCTTCTTTGCGCGTGTAAGTTACGGTAACGATGGTGACCGTAATTTGTAATCATCGTTACCGTAACTTGAGCGCACGATGTTGTTAACGTCGCACGTTCAATTTACGGTAACGATGGTTGTATAGCTTTTACGCCGGCACGTGTTGACATGTTGCGGCTGGAATAATTGTTCGTTCTATCGTCCTCTTCTGGTGTGTTATTATTTACGTATAAATTCACCAGACTAGGACGTCCGAATATTCCGAATAATTGTGACGACTGTGACACAGGTACCTTGTCTCAATCTTGCCGTATAACTATGGCGAGATGATATATCGATGGCGGGCCTCTGCAACGAAAGCGAACCGTGATATTTCCACCAGTAGGGGGTCAAAGTTAGGACCAGGCAAAGTCCGCGAAGGTCCAGGCAGGTCGTTTTGCTTGAGCACTACTCTTTCGGAATGTGGCGTACGTGATTTGTGATGATGTGGTGGTAAGCCATGCTGCCGTCCAAAGGCAAAACCCCATATGTTCATTTCCATCCATTTTGCCTTTTTCATTTCATCTGATTCGTCTTCTCATGCTGCATTCGTATGTTCAAACCAATAATTGAAATTTTCTCAAGCTTTTAGCTAAAAGAATGGGCGAAATGCTTGAAAATTGGTACTGATTATTTACATAACCAAAATCAGCATGAGTAGATGAATCAGCTGACATAAAAACCGCAAAATGCCCAAAAATCAACATATGGGGATTTATCGTTGGACGAATCATATGAATATATATATATATATATATATATATATATATATATATATATATATATCATAGTCTGACGTGGCAGGACCGTCGCCGGTGACCGGGCGTGAGCTCGTGTTATGGGCTCTCCCTGACCGGCACGAAATGAAATCACTCGATGCATTACGTGAAAACGACCCCAAAGCAGGAGGGCAGATGACGAACTGTTGTCTGTGGAAGCAGTGGCTGTCGTTAAAGCTTCCACAAATGGCGTAAGGGGCGTCATGCCCGTCACTTCACGTGGCATCGAAACATTGGCTGGCGGAGTATGTTAAAGTGATCACTTTGTGGGAATTGAAACTTTGCATCCTTTTTGGAACTATTCTGAAGTTGTTTGGAAGAGCAGCCGGTTAATTTTAGCCCCCCCCCCCCTCGTGGTGGTTGCGGACAGACACGTGCCGGGAGCCAAAAACAGATCCCAGGATCCCGTGCACGTGGAACCCCGTGAGATTCTTGATTCACCCATGTGACCTGACACATGTCTGGTGGCGGGTTCTAGCTCATCGTGCCTTCGCAGCCCTCCACAGTCCTCCCGTGCCTTTCACCTCGCGGCTTGGGAGGAACGATGGCGGGAGGACATGCCAAAGATCCTGGCTGACGCTTCGTGACGTCACGTCACGCTGCGATGTGAGAGAAACCGTGACGTGACGTGACGTGGCGTCGCGTTGTGATGTGAGAGAAGCTGTGCCGTGACGTGACGTCACTATGACATCACGTTGTGACGTCGGAGGATTCGTACCTGACGTGGCGTGATGCTATTTCAGGAGTGCCAGGTGGCGCTGAAGGAGAACAACGTGGTGGTGATGACGCTGGAGGACAAGATCCTCACCCTGACCACCACCAGTCGCAAAATGGACGAAATGTAAGGCCCGGCAGACACTTTCGGCCTTCAGCCATATATATATATATATATATATATATATATATATATATATATATATATATATATATATATATATATATCTAGGTCGCGAGGTTTGGTAGTATTCGTCACTAGCTAGGTCGCGAGGTTTGGTTTGGAGGTATATATATATATATATATATATATATATATATATATATATATATATATATATATATATATATATCTAGGTCGTCACCAGCTAGGTCGCGAGGTTTGGTAGTATTCGTTTCCGTCATTTAAAGAGAGAGTGCTACGCTTGAAAGCGGTCCCAGATTCCCGCAGTAATGCGTGGGCGAGTCTAGTCACTAGACGTTGGGCGTGCAGTTGGGTTATTCCAGATATAAGATAGCCAGTTGTCTGTACTAAATTTTGGGTCTGAAAGGGCCCATCAAGCGTTCAAAATACATGGGCTTGCCTTTAGTTGACTGCCACCGAAAATGCGCGCGTTGTTTCAGTGTCACTCACGGAATAGGTGTTCATAAGCCTTAAACCGATGCAGTTGGTTGGAGGAGATTCGCCCCAATGCTTCGCATCAGGGCCTCAGCGCTGGTGACGAAATGGAACCTGTCATGCACCGTGACCTGGGCATGTTGTGACCTTGTTAAATTTGGACGGCATGTCGAAAGCGAGAGTTCATCGCACTTAATTACTGAACACATGATAAGGTTTTTTATCGATTATCTTGAGGTGGAAAGCTTGCCCAGCTGAGTGACGTCTGTGAGTAGCTGGAAGGGTGGTAGGACCAATGAAGTCGAATTTTCTGGTATGTCATGTGGTTGGGTCCGTTGTCCGCAGTCACACGGAGACAGAGCAGAAGAGGAAGGCGGCGGAGGACACGCTGCGCCAGCTGTCCGACAAGCTGTCCGAGTGTGAGATTCAGCTGTCCAAGGTGTCGTCTGACCTGAAGGTAAGCTGTGAAATGCAGCTGATCAGAGATCCACATATTATGACTGACTGCGTTTGATCTGGATACTCCTCTCTCGCTGGCAGCTTTTTGTTTTGTCCTTCCCCTGATTAGTTGTGTATGTTTTTCATCTATCGGCATTCCTCTTCATAACTTTTACATCTATAATGCACGTTTCTCTTCGTCGTGTACTTTGTCGTGCAAGATGTGCTGGGATTTTTTGGCCGTGCTTTGGTTTATCTGATACTGATCTTTGATTGGTGGCGTATTGGCCGGACTGTTCTCATTGGCTGTTCGTGACGTAGCTGTGCGCTGATTGGTCGGCTGTGTCGTCAGATCGAGCGGGAGTGGCGGGAGAGTCTGCAGGCGGGAATGGTCGAGGACCGCGAGAAGCTGGCAACTCTTCAGAGGACCAACGATCAGCTGAGCAGGAAACTCGAGGTCAGCTGCTGCGGCTGCAGCTCATAGGTGCCCTCCAGCAGCAGTGGCTCTCGGGCTGAGCGGGGGTTTGGCAGCAGTGGCTCTCCGGCTTGGCGGGGTTTGGCAGCAGTGACTCTCCGGCTGGGTGGGGTTTGGCAGCAGTGGCTCTCCGGCTTGGCGGGGTTTGGCAGCAATGGCTCTCCGGCTTGGCGGGGTTTGGCAGCAATGGCTCTCCGGCTGGGTGGGGTTTGGCAGCAGTGGCTCTCCGGCTGGGGGGGGGGGGGGGGTTGGCAGCAGTGGCTCTCCGGCTTGGCGAGGTTTGGCAGCAGTGGCTCTCCGGCTTGGCGGGGTTTGGCAGCAGTGGCTCTCCGGCTTGGCGAGGTTTGGCAGCAATGGCTCTCCGGCTTGGCGGGGTTCGGCAGCAGTGGGTCTCCGGCTTGGCGGGGTTTGGCAGCAGTGGCTGTCCAGCTTGGCGGGGTTTGGTACCAATAGCTCCCTGATCTGGCTCGGCTTGGTAGCTGTGGCATATAAAAGCGCGGCGCAGCTCACTGCGGTCACTTAGTTATGGCACAGAGGTATAAGCTTGGTCCGCGACGTGCATTTGGTCGTCACAGATGTACTCGACCATGTATGCTTACTTCATCGACCATGCTTCCAACGCGGTGTCCTTTTCTTCACATGCCACATCTACTCAACGTCACGCATATGCCTGAGTAAAAAACGCAAACTTTTCCAGCGCGTTGACACTGGTGTCACGCAACCATCGCGGTGCCATGCGGCCAAACGTTCCGTGTGCGCTGTGACATGACACCACCACCCGCGCACGTAAACCATCTGTAACGCATCGCTCTCGCGGCCAGGACCAGGAGACGACGGACGTGGAGATGGAGCGGCTGCGCGTGCGCTGTCAGGAGCACGAGCGCACGCTGGAGGAGCTGGGCCACCACCTGTCAGAGTCCAAGCTGAGGTCGGTTTCCCGCCGCGCACGGGGCGCGCCACGAAGTCCGTGTCGCCACCGCGGCGGGGGCTTTCTCACTAGTACCGAGGCTTGCCTGGTCTAGGCGCCGCTAGCGGGGCTGTTGGCCTGACGTTGGACAGTGGCACCAACTCTGTCCTGGTGTATTGTGTGACGGTAAGCGTGGCCGAAAGTGACGGTAAGCGTGGCACACAACTCTGTCGTGGTGTATTGTGTGACGGTAAGCGTGGCCGACATGCCCGCCAGCACCCTGTGTCGGTGTGACCGTGAGCTCGGTGTGCGTGCGTGCCGTGCGTGCGTGCGTGCGTGCGTGCGTGCGTGCGTGCGTGCGTGCGTGCGTGCGTGCGTGCGTGCTGTGCGTGTGTGTGTGTGTGTGTGTGTGTGTGTGTGTGTGTGTGTGTGTGTGTGTGTGTGTGTGTGTGTGTGGTGTGTGTGGTGTGTGTGTGTGCTGTGCGTGTGGTGTGTGTCGTGCGTGCGTGCGTTGCGTGCGTGCGTGCGTGCGCGCGCGCCGCACGTGGGTTCGTGCGTGCGTGCGCGGCCCTGACCGTGACCCGATCCCCTAGGATGGAGGACCTGCGCCAGACGGCGCGGTACGCCATGGACGGCCAGTGGGTGCCGGACAGCGCGGTGCAGCACTGTAAGAGCTGTCAGCAGGAGTTCACCATCAGCCGGAGGAAGGTGAGGCCGGCCAGCCCGGCACGAGCGTGCCGTCTGTCGGACTGGTGGTGGTGCGCTCAGGCGCGTCACCTGCTGTGACTTGAGTCCTTCGCTGCCGATGGTGTATTATGTTGGAATGGCTGGTGTGTTTCAGACGCGCATGTCTTTTATGGTCTTTTATGGGTGCTTCTGGCTTTCGGAAATAAAGCGCAAAAGCTATCAAGCCGAAACCAGAAAAAGACAGTCATTGAGTTGTTTGTATTCGTCTGTTTGCTTACCAATGCAACGCTCAAATACTGCACGGCGCTCCATGGAGGGAGGGGAGGGGGGGGGGGGGGGGTGGCGGTAGCGGCTCTCCGGCTGGGCGGGGTTTGGTACCAATAGCTCCCTGATTTGGCTTGGTTTGATAGCTGTGGCATCTGCAAATGCGACGCAGCTCACTGCGGTCGCCTAGTTATGGCACAGAGGTATAAGCTTGGTCCGTGACGTGCAGAAAGGATTGTACGCCGCGAGAGGAGATCTTTCACAATGAACTTTGTATTTTGCCAACTTTTAAAGTTCATTGCCGCCCTACCCCTTGGTAGTTCCATGGCACACTTGCCTCACTTCACGCTTGGGCCGATTGAACTGCCGTTTTATTATTCTCAGAACTACGTTCTTTAAGTTGTTTTGCGGATATTCTGTGGATGTTCGTGCCTGTTCGCAGGAATTTCGTGGGGTAGGGTTTGTATTGATAACCACCTCATAGCAAACATCTTCCAAGGCCGCATTACAAGCCATTGGAAATGCGTTTACCCAGTAATCGTGCAGTGCTGACTCATCTGGCGAATGCGAGGAATGGCTGCACCGCAACATCTGCCGCACTCCCCTGACGCGTGCCCTGGTCCGCAGCACCACTGCCGCAACTGTGGCGGCGTCTTCTGCCACCCGTGTTCGGACAACACCATGGCTCTGGCGGCCTCGGCCAAGCCGGTCCGGGTCTGCGACGACTGCCACACCTTCCTGCTGCAACGTTACCAAGCGGCCTAGAACGGCAGTACGTTGCTACTGGCATCTGTCGGCGGGCACCGCGACGCTACTCACATCTATAGGCGGAGAAGGGCGCTGCGACGCTGCTGACATCTATCGGCGGAGGACACCGCGACGCTGCTGACATCTATAGGCGGAGAAGGGCGCTGCGACGCTGCTGACATCTATCGGCGGAGAGGGACGCCGCGACGCTGCTGACATCTATCGGCGGAGAAGGTCGCCGCGCCGCTGCTGACATCTGTCGGTGGAAAAGTTCTCCGGAGTGCTCATTGTAGCGCCCGGCGGAATGTAACGCGACACGCTGGCGCGTGTCGCCCGCTCAGCGTCATCCAGCTGCTGCTCTTGCCAACGGGGCACACCTGCCAAAGGAACATGTACATGGATGGATCTGCCGGGCACTGCTGTGTATTGAGATGACTGGTACCACGCATAAGAACTGGTTATCAGTTTTCACATGGCAGGCTGCCAGCATATGCCAACCAATGGGTCCGACGAATGCGCCTGAATGTGGTGCGTCGCGCGTTGGACCGGTATTTCTCAGTTGGCCGTAACCGAGATAACGGGAGATTTCCCTTTTGTGCGTGCTGGATATGCGCTGTCGCATCAGCTTACTTAAAATGTGCAGTCGCGCCTGTTTTAACGAATATGCTATTTGGGAATTGCAAATATTGAGTGTTGAAGTATTGGGTGGGAAAAGACATATTTTATGACAGTTTAAATGGATGCCAGCTGTACATATGTGATATCTAAGCATTATGGCATACAAAAATGTTCCTGAAGTGGCCATGCTGGCACACATTTTGGGCGCTAAGTGGTCTCGAATACCACGAGCCAGCAAAGGCCTGATATCTGAAGATCTGCCCAGCGCTGGCCCATCAGACCAGATGCCGTTTTATGAGCTCACACGCGGTGATGGTGCAGCGGGGATGAGTGCTGCGTCGCGTACGTTTGGGTTTGGGCTGGGGGGAGGGAGGGAAGGGAGAGCAGGCGGCTGTGACTCCAGCTGTTGGGGGGGGGAGGGGAGGGGGAGGTGCTGATTCGAGAGGACCATAGCTGGGTGACACGCAGCCGTACTACATGGCGGGCTTGCTACCCGACCACCCCCACCTTGCCAGTGGATCTGCTGAAAGAGGAGCTGGACGGCGTCTGGATATTATCACACGTCGCATCACATCACCCGGAGAGCTTGGATCTGAAGATAGTCCATGCTGTCCCTGCTTTTGCATGTTTTTACGTCATACAAAGATCTGCGAAGCGCCCTGTCGCTAAATATAGTCTCAGTTTTGCCGTGCGGGGTTTTGCACTTGGTCGCGCCCTGTTAATACTGCGGTGGGGAGGTGACGTATAATCGGACATGCCGGGTCCAGCTGACCAATACACGTAATACCACGTGCGATGGTGACAGTGTGCCCGCGGATTAGTCGGTGACAACACGGTTGATGTGACAATATGCCCCTGACACATGAATCGCCCCGGGCTAGCCGTGCCTTCACACGAGGCCGATGGGCGTGGGCCGACGCTGACACAGAGGCGACGCCTATGCCCGAGTGTCACTGGCCTTGAGGGACCACTGAAATCAGCAGCTGCAAACAATGGGACGGGTTATGTGTCCGATAGACACGTGCGAACTAGCCGGAAATGTGCTGCTAATGTGTGCCTGCTTGATATGTACCTCAAGCTCCGTTATTGCTTAAGATATCAGCGAAAGGTGTGATTGGCTTCTTTTGCTCGTCTTGGATTGGTCGCAATTGACCTGTCGTCCGCGTGCGAGCGAGGTCGTAACAAGGGGAAGGGCATGGCGGGGGCATGTCGAACTTCCGGTTGAGCGGAGAGGCTTTCAGTACACGATGGGAAATTTCTCATGTCTGGCAAAAGCTGACAGTCTTCCTTTCATTCAGAAATATTTGGGCTAAGCGCCCGCGTACGAAGTGCTGCTCGCGGATGCTACATGCCTTAGTCACCTGGGAGACGAATGCGGTACGTAGTCTTATATTTGTATTTTCGTGTATGAGCAGCTGGAGCTGCCAGTCGGGGCTGTAGCTCAAGTGGTAGAGCGCTCGCTTAGCATGTGAGAGGTACGGGGATCGATACCCCGCAGCTCCACTGCTTTTCCGTTTTTCTGCGGAGCTGGATCGAAAGTAGCCAGAGATAGGATAGGCTTCATCCCACCAAGAAACCGTTTCGGTCCCTGCGCTCTTCTTTTAACAGCTGATCTCGAACTGAGCATACGCGATAACTCTAATGTGGATCATACCTGTGTGGCACGTGGCGCTGAGGCGGCCAGTTCGTCGGGTCGCTCTTGCGCGTTCTGCAGCAATCCTTCAGTTACTGGCCGGTAGATGACACTACTGGTGTAAATAGATAACGCTAAAGGTGAAACCGTGGATTTCACGGAACATAAACATACAGCTGGGTAACAGAATAACAGTCTCGCGTAATTATAGAGGCGAGATGTTGTCTCATGGACTCGAACCACGCCTTATATGTGATTTGCCTCACCCGGCTGACTACATTCCACAGCTGCGACCAGCATGCAATGTTGACGAGTCATGCGGTGCTCACGCCCCGCTCGTGTGTGTCGTGCAGGTCGTGTGAGCACACTTCTCGCCACGTCATGTTGCTCGTCTCGTCGCGCGTCACATTACCGTTTGCGGCATTCAAACCCGAACCAGAGTGAAACATGCGCAGAGACCAGGTGGTCACTAGCGACATCTGGACAATGCGGCACTGCTGGCCAACGTCCCTGACGCGCGTTGTTCAGCGGTAGTCCTGCGCAGGGACGAATTCGGTCGGCAGTGAAATTTGTTCTCAGTTGAGGTGGGCCGCAAGCTTGGCACGTGCGCGTTAGTTGAGTCATTTCCACTTCCAGCATAGGTGGCGCCACCGTCTACGTGCGGAACGGACTTGAGAACTGCCGCCGTGCCACGAGCCCGGCCGAGCTCATTATACAACAACGTAGACTTGGACATGGGTCTTCCCGTAATGACATTACGTGTTTTGTTATTCTCAAGTCCCTTACCTGGTTACGCGCAGGATACAGCGGGCGAGCCCCCCATTCTCCCCGCGTCCCGTGATTACTTGCGCCGTGGTTGTCCTATGGTTACGTCTGTTACCTATGTGTAACGTTCCAAAAATGTAACGACCTATTTGAGGCGAGAAATTTGAAAAAGATGGAAGCATTAACTGTTGTGAGATTAAACACAAACAGCTCAAATCAGACGATGTTTGTGCTCACTCACATACGTGAAGTGGCTTGAAAATCCCAAGATGGACGTCTTCGTTTCATGAAGCGGGGCAGCCCGGGATCCGCCCAGCCACAGACTGCTCCACACTGGTCCTACTCTCTGCCCGGGATCCACCCAGCCACAGACCGCTCCACATTGGTCCTACTCTCTGCCCGGGATCCACCCAGCCACAGATTGCTCCACACTGGTCCTACTCTCTGTTCGGGATCCACCCAGTCCAGACTGCTCCACACTGGTCCTACTCTCTGCCCGGGATCCGCCCAGCCCCAGACTGCTCCACGCTGGTCCTACTCTCTGCCCGGGAGTCGCCAAGCACCAAGACTGCTCCATAGTAGTCCCACTCTCTGTCCGTGATCCGCCCAGCCACGGACCGCTCCACACTGGTCCTACTCTCTGCCTGGTATCCACCCAGTCCAGACTGCTCCATACTAGTCCTACTCTCTGCCCGGGATCCGCTAACCCAGACTGCTCCAGCTGGTCCTACTATCTGCCCGGGATCCGCTCAGCTCCAGACTGCTCCACGCTGGTCCTACTCTCTGCCCGGGAGTCGCCAAGCACCAAGACTGCTCCATAGTGGTCGTACTCCCGGGAGCTGGACAATGCACATCGCGTGCATTGCCACAGCGCAACACTCAGCTGTGATGCGTGTCGGGGGCGGCTGCAGTGCATAGTGCTGGTGTAGTTGGGCGGAATTTAACGGCACGAATCTAACAACTTGTCCGTTTTTCGTAGCTAGCTTTGATCCGTGCTGACCGTTGTCAAGCTAAACAAACTCGAGCAGTTTTTATGATCAGCAGGAAACAGGTGCAGTTGCAGCCACAGCGAACATTTATGGCAGTCAAAAGGCCGAGGCCTTATTTGCTACTCCATCCCTTCCACTGGTAAGTAAGACATGTCCGGCACACCTAGGCGGTTTTTGCGCCGACATGACACACACCAACGAGCTGAAGTCCCGGAATGTTGGTCTGCAACATTGGTTTGCTGTGCTTATCGAATATCTTATCCTGAGTGCCGTTGACACGTCTTATCAATGCACGATGTTTGGTGCGAGCAGCATCATAAGGTAGGAAAATGAAAGGCAAAGGAAGGCAGGACCAAAACTAGCGCTTGGTTCATCGACACATGATCCTACCTCTTGGCTCTTGCCTCTCATCTCTTGAATCACCACAGTCTGGCGGAAGTGACGTCATCTTTGAAAGGTTAAAGGTGATGCAATCCTCGTCGCGAAGCCTATCACACAGGTGAAGCTTAGATCATCTTCGTGCTTCTTGTTGCACATCTGATCCAGGAGGCTAACCAAAGGCAGAGCTGAGACAACCATGAATAAAAAGGCGCATAAAGCCCAAAAACTAAACGTGCTCCAACTGATGACTACAATGCAAATACAGCCAATGCAAATGGGGTAAAGTTTGGTGTCGTGGAGTTGAAGCACCAAAATGACTTGGTTAGAATTGGTCACTACATGGGTCGAACTCTACCAGACAAACCACGCAATGTTCGTTCGAAGCACTGGCTATGAATAGAGAGCTGGGATTACTAGGAGCTGCTTCTGACCCAGGGTCTGCTAAACTGGGCCCGCGACGTAACAGACTTCTGATCGTCGATTTAGCCATATTACAGGGAAGAAGCACGGTCGTGTAGCTACGAAATACTGCCAATGCTGTGATTCGGCTGCGTAAACAGCCTGGTCTCTCTTAGAATCGCATAGTTTTATCAAAGCACGGGTTCGGGCTTGGCCTAATACAACGTGACAACAGCTGTGCTAAATTATCTTAGATCCGGTTTCTGTAAATACGACATGAATTGGGATGTATTGCCATCGCTACCGGAGTCTTGATTCCTTAAGCCTTCACGAACGGTGGCAACGAATTATTAGACTTCCGATCAGGTCACGTGCGTAGAGCGGGCGTAGGTCTACTTTAACGAGGGCCTCAGCCATCACGAGGAGCTTTGTTTGCCGATGTCAGCAGACACACGCACGCACGCACGCACGCACGCACGCATGCATGCACGAACGCATGCACGCACGCACGCACGCACGCACGCACGCACGCACGCACGAACGCACGCGCGCATACACACACACACAGACACACAGACACACACACACACACACACCACACACACACACACCACACACACACACACACACACACACACACACACACACACACACACACACACACACACACACACACACACACACACACATACACACCAAATGTGATGAGGTGTTGCACTGTTAGGGCCATCCCACATGAATAATGCTAGTACTCTGGACAATCACCGCTATGCCGGCCGTGCACACACCAATCTAATGTGGTCTGTAATTAATTACCAGCTCGCGCTGAAATCTGCGCACCAGGCGTAGCCACTCCTATGCTGATATCGCTTCACTCACGCCACGTTCAAAGTGTATTTCCAATGGCTATGGGTGGCAGAGCCAGCCAATTTATGTGAGGTCTGTCAACCATTTGACCTCTTTTTCCAAGTCCCGTTTGCTTCTACCGGACACCGTGAGATACGGTGTACGGTGGAGCCCCCCCCCCCCCCCTGATTCCCGCTGTGAAAGTGATGCTTCCATTTGCCTTGCCTTTTCCAACGTGCGAGTTCTGTAAGGTATGCAATACACGAATGCTCCAGAATTTGTTGTATAGATGCTACGAAAGCTTGAAACACTGACAAAAAGATACGCGAACAAGAAGCTAT